TTTATGTTCATAGCAATGAAATTTACAATAGCCAAGTGCTGGAAACAGCTAAAGTGCCCATCAGTAAATGAGTGGATCAAAAAACTGTGGTACATTTACACAATTGAATACTACGCAGCAGAAAGAAAAAAGGAAATCCTACCCTTCGCAAGAGCATGGATGGAACTGGGGAGCATTATACTAAGTGAAATAAGCAAGGCAGTGAAAGACAAATACTTTATGATCTCACCTATAAGTGGAACCTAATTAACAAATCAAACAAACGAGAAAAATAGAAACAGAGACGTGGATATAAAGAACAAACTGACAGTAATCAGAAGGGATGGGGGAGGAGGGTAACGGGGAAGAGAAGGGGAAAGATCATCAAGGAACATGTATAAAGGGCCCACGGACAAAGCGACGGAGTAGGGGAGATTGAGTGTGGTAGGTGGGAACGGGGAGGGCAGGGGGGAGTAATGGGGAAAAATGGGGACAGCTGTAATTGAACAAAAGTAAAAAATTTTAAAAATGGTTTCTTGACATTTGGAACAAATTTAAATACTTTAAGTGCAGTACAGTTTATAGTATAAGTATGTTTCTAAATGGTTTAATACTAACTAATTACTTGCACTTGAGAAACAGTTGCAAAATAATTACTCTCCCTACATTATGTGAAGAAATTAAAAATGTCTCTAAACTGCTTGGCTTTGATCTTCTTAAAGAAACACATTAAAATAAGATGGTATTTTTAATATTCAGGGAGAATGTACCCCTTCATTTATTCAACAAATATTAATAGTTTAGCACCTATCATGAGCCAGACATTGTTTTAGATACTGGGGACAGCAGGGAATAACACAGACAGTAATTGTGGCCCTCACCATGCTTTCAGAATAATTGTGTTTGCTGCATTCTCCTCAATTATATTTTAATGCCTTAAAAATAAAAGTTTGGACAGTTATGGCAGAACAATAAGTGGCCAATTGTATAATTTGCAGTCCATCTCCATGAGTCTATGGAGCCATTGATGAGTTGTAGTTGCTCATGGACTCTGAGGCTTTTGATTCTATCTCTGCGTATTTGGTTATCGCCTAATTCAGACCAACTATATAGATATAAATTTGGTTTCTTCTTTATTTAAAATATTTGGTTTGCTTTGTTAATCAACCATGCTTTATAAAAATGTTTTGAGGTTTCTGAAAGGAAGAGATTTTATTTTATTTTAAAATTTTCTTTGCTTTTGCTTCTGGGCATAAAAATATGGCAATTTCTATCTTGATTTAAGCAATGTGGATAGCCAAATTGAATAAATACACTAAAAATTCTCATGGGAGCTAAATTATCTTACTGAACCCATGGATTATATATATTAATGTAAGAAATGTCACACTAGATTAAATCAGTTGTCCATAGAGCAAGTAATTTATGGAAAAACATGATATTCACTTCCCATGGCATTGGTCTACCTTGAATATTTATTAGTGATACATTACATATCACTTTTCCACAAATCAATTGTCTTCAAAGACCTTTGATCTCATTTCTATTTTAAGTCAGTAATACCTCTTCATTAATGAGTTTTTACCTCTTGTGTATACTTCTCTTCCATATTTCAATGACTGTGTAAACTTTATTTTTCAAATTACCCTGTAGAGTACACTAAAATTTGGAATATGTGCTTAGCTTATACATTTCTTCCTTCCTTTTTTTTTTAAAAAAAAAAATCATGTTCTCTATCATGTCTTAGCTTTCTCATTTGAAGAGTATGAAGTTTCAACTGATTTTATGTGGAAGACATTACATCCTTTTGCAATGTATAATCTAGACTAGTCCCTCTATGATGACCTTTATGACAAAGAGCAATGAGAATTATGCACATATTTCTAAGGAGAGTGGTCATGATTTTTTTTACAGGTAATATTTGTTTTATCACTATGTAAGGATGATGAGCATTTTGTTGCTCTCATTGTTACAGCAGCATAATTTAAATTGTCTTGAGATAATATGTTGGGTATTCTCTTGCTTCATCTCCACTTTATTTTGTTTTAAATGGATTTCCAAAGCCAAAAATACTCCTAACACTTTTGACCCTGCTAAATCACATAATGAATTGTAATACACTACCCTTCCAGGACAGATTCATACTGGCAGTACTTCTGAGCTTATGCACTTTTAACATTCCTTGAACTCTTATAAATTAATGTATTGACTTATATTTGTTAATTTGCATGTAATTTATCCTTTTAGCAATTCTCTTCAATCCTACTAATAAAACCTTCCCTTAGATGTCTGCATATGTATTATGTCCTGCCTGTCTTAGTAGAGTCTTGATTCCCAGAAAGATAAAGCATATTTGAGTGATTGCATTTTCTTCTTTCTCAATTTTTTCTTCTTGCCTTGTTTTTGTCCTTGTGACTTTCAAAGTTGTGTCTGAAATAATTATCAATAAATTTAACTGATAATTTCAAATTGATGCATTTGAAATTATTTTTTCCTAACACCTGTAATACATAATTTATGCATATACATAAATCTTCTGTTATGATACCCAAGTTTATCCTTCTCTTTAAAATTATTTGTTTCAGCTAGCCTGAATGTATAGTTTTTACTTGGACTGTACTGAGAACAAACAAACCTTTTTCTAAATTATGTTAATTTGATATATTAAAAATATTTAGTTTCAAGGAGCACATATTGAAGTTAAATATGAACTGCAGAGACATTACATTGTTTAATCCTGCAAATCATATTTAATGGTCTACATATGCACAGAAATTTTTTAAATCTTTGTACATTCACTATGTGTATAAAATATGCCAAACAAATCATGTTTAGGTCTTATACAAGGTCTGTCCAGGAAAAGTCCAGCCATTGTTAATATAACAATGAGAACCATTTGTGCGACTACAATGTAACCTGGCAGTCAAAGAGAATGGACTGGAATGCACATGCATGAACAATGACTACTTCACCGTGCTAGTCAGTGAGGGCGGTAGACACCACTGAGTAAGCATGTGTACTGCGAGGCCAACCCATTCAAAATGACTGAGTGAGCAGAGCAACAAACCTGCATCAAATTTTGCCTTAAGCTTGAAAATTCCTCTGCGGACACTATTTAGATGATTCACAAGTCTTTGGGGGACAATTCAATGAATGATTGGCAGCTCCATAACGACACATACCTGCTCATGTATCATGTCTCATGCAGAATTTTTTGACAAAACATCAAATCACCCAGGTGGGTCAGCCCTCCTGCAGCCAACACCCCAGGTTTGGTGCCCTGTGACTTCTGGCTTTTCCCAAAACTAAAATTAGCTTTGGAAGGGAAGAGATTTCAGAAAAATGATGAGATTCAGGAAAATATGACTGGTCAGCTGATTATAATTGGGAGAACTGTGTGAGGTCCCAAGGTGCCTACTTTGAAGGGAGCTGAGGTATCATTGTCCTATATAATGTTTCTTGTATCCTTTTTTTTTTTTCAGGGGAGAGCGCGAACGCAGTCCCCCACTACCACAAATTATGCAGTCGAGTTTCCCACATTTGGGGAAATCGCAGGGGTCAGCACATCCGGAGTGCAATGGATAAGCCTCGCCCTGGGAAAACCACCTTCGTGATCATGGTATCTCCCCTGCCAGGTAAGTATCTCTTGTATCCTTTTCAATAAATATCTCTATTTTTCATAGTACATGACTGGATACTTTTTAGACAGGCCTGGCATTACTAGAATAGTATAATCTAAAATGGAAGTTAAATGGCTAATAAAGAAGTGAGATTGGACATTGTGAACACCTGTGGCTTGCTCTTACAGTAGACATCTTCCTTAGGGTGCAGAGAACCATTTTACCCTATGGGGAAGACAGGAACTCACCTTCTATTTTCCTCGAGTAAACATATAATTACTTCCAAATCTGAGTTGTTTTAGGACTAGACATTGTGTACCTGGTTCAGTGTGTTACGAATGGAAAAAGAAAAAAAAATCCTATTCTTTTTGCATTGTCTAAGAAAAATACAGAAAACATGACACTGGAAAAAAAAAAAAAAAAGACCAGAATCAAAAGAGAATAAACTTCTGTTCTCGACTGGAGGTATTGTTTCCTTTCCTGAGTTTCATGGAACATCCTAAAGGGTGTTTAAAACTATCTCATGTGGTTTCCCCCCTCCAGGCCAACAGGGCATCATTTCATAGCATAATGATGACACGCGCAAGGTAATTATAAAGGGGCACACGTAAGCCGATTTCTCCTCTCTACAGATGGCACAGAGAGAAAGCTTTGAGCGAGAGTAGAAAGGCACATTGTCGCTTGTCTGTCCTCTCTGAAGCGGCTGGGACACATTCTGCTCAGCCAATGTGTTCCCAGAGGAGTGCGATATAACTTCCACTTTTCACACAGTAAGAAGCAACACTGTAGACCTGTCTGGAGGGTGATGGCAGCCTGGCAGGCGTTTAGCTGTGTTTTTCACTCCAGTGTTTTCATGTGACCTGACTCTCATTCTCAACTTAGTTACATCTTGACCTGGAAAATGTGGGCACGGTTTGCCTCTCTTCATTTGGCTTACCTTGATCATGGTGTGCATCCACCTTTCCCCCTCACCCCTACGCCAGGCAGCCTCTCCGTTCCCTTGAAACCTACTAATAAAGCCTTTCTCTAGCTGTCTATGCATGTATTTACTCTATTTCCCTCAGAAGGGGCATTCCTTCCAGGGAGAGAGAATGCATTTGGGTCCTTGGAATACAAAGAAGGGATACCCACCTAAAACGGCCTAAGCGGTTCCCCACTCCTTTCAGCGGATCTGACTGTCCACATATTTAGCAGCTTGTTTCAGAACCCTCTGGTAGTAAAGAAATTAATATTTCTCATTTTTCCTAGCTTCCCCTCTCCCCATTAAACGACTGATTTTTATGCGAGCTTATAGACAAGCCTTGGGTGACCTGTTTTTTAATTTTTTCCTCTCCCTCCTCCCTTTTTTTCCCTTGCGGTAAAATAGTGCTGAAGAAAGAGGGCACTAGAGTACAGCCCAGACAGCAGCCTTGCGCCGTCTGGATGAGAGCGGAGGCATCTGCTTACCGAGTGTGGCCGCGGTCCTCTGTCTGGCCTGGGGACCACAGTGCTGTCTACCCGGACTCAGGTACGTCTCAAGTCCAAATTCTCCAAGCAGGCTCAGGTGAGCAGAAACCTCTCCGCGGCGAAACCTACCCCCAGTGTCAGACAGTCCCAATCTATGGGATTTTCCTCCGGGTCCCAGGGGCACCCTCGCTTATTTATTTATTTTTAGTCCCGCATCCTGGGAAGCGTCGGAACCCGTGGATGCCTGGGTTGTTTTCCCCCTTTTGCCTTCCGCAGCCCACACGCGCCTTTAGCTCTTGTCTCCTCCGACGCTCACCTTGAGAAAGGGAGCCGAGGAGGGACGAGAGCGGGAGCCAACTTCAGCCCCTCGGGCGGCTGGAATTTGGCGCCTCTGATCCCTGGAGCGGTCGCGTTTGAATATACTCGCCTGAGCACTGACTGCAAGGGGAAGAGAATGAGGATGGAAGGATGGTGAGGAGGCGAGGGGAGGCGTGTGCGTGCGCGTGTGTGTGTGTGTTTGTGTAAAGAATGCAGGGAGTGGTGGCTGAGAGAGCGAAGTCGGGGGCGGGGGTCATTGTCCAAGAATTGCAACTCGCAGGTCAAAGCGTCCGCCGCAGGCCCTGCAGGGCAATGGGGTTTGAGTGGAGGGACCGAGCACTGTCCAGGGTGCTGAAGGCGGCGGGGCTGGGCTGCCGCCGCGAGAGCAACCCGGAAGCCCCGTTTCCTTTCTAACAACAGTGCACAGCCAAAGACCCCCCCCCCCCGCCCCCATTTAGGCAAGGGCAGGAGCCCCTCCACCTCTCCCTCCATCCCCCATCGCGGGGAACAAATTACCTTACGTGCACCCTTTCTCCCTCAACCTCTACTTAAACCTGGCTCGTTGGGAGGAGATTAGGAGGGGGGCGTACCAAACTCCGACGTGCAGAGGCTACCAGGCATTGCCTTAGTAACTAAGATGGAGTTCCTCAAGCTGGCACGTTTATTTTTACTACTTGAGTTGTATGGTAGGGTCTCTCCAAGCCCTCAAACTAAAGTCAAAAGGTGCCTTCTTTGTTCGCGTTCATTTTGAAGGAGCGCTTCCTAATGAGTTTCCCAATTGCTTCTGGGAAAAAGTTGATCTTCTCAAACCCTGAAAGTTCTCTTAGGGCGAAGGATCTAGCTCCCCATCCCCTGTCTCCCTCCTGCCTCTCAAATCAGTGAGCGTGATGTGTCCTGGGGACCGGGAAAAGACTTGTGGCTGGAGGAGGGGGCGGGTCGGCGGGGCTCGGCGCCTCCCCGGACCGAGGAGGGCGCTGGCGACGGGGCGCATCACCTTCCGCCTGGACCACAGCTGCCTCCCCTTGCTGATGCCGTGAGGTGCTGAAAGGGATTGGACCGGGCAACTATTATCATCACTGACCCCTGAGTTTTGACACATGCGATAACGGAGCTTTGATTTCCTTCCTCTCTTGTCGGCAGCCTCCTGCTCGCCGCTGTCACCACGACGTCCACTGTACGGTTGAACAGTTTACCTTGGTGCGCTGGTGAAGAAGGAGGACTGGAATCCTCCTAGAAACGCCTCCTGGGAGAGGAGGTGGTCGTGGAGGACCGGGAGGAGGAGGCGGAGCGGAAGGTGGCGGCTGTGCAGGCGGTGACAGCTTTGGACGAGCGGTGTTGGGGAGCGGGACCGAGCGGGGAGCGGCCGGTGCGGGGCGTCCCCGTGGTGCGCGCCCAGAGCCGGCTGGCGGGACCTGCGTGGAAGCGTGGCTGGCGGGCTGTGGACCACGTCCCCATCACAATGGTCCGGCTCCTGTTGGTTTTCTTCCCAGCGATCTTTTTGGAGATGTCCCTTCTCCCCAGAAGCCCCGGCAGGAAAGTGTTGCTGGCGGGAGCCTCGTCTCAGCGCTCGGTGGCCAGAATGGATGGAGATGTCATCATTGGAGCGCTCTTCTCAGTCCATCACCAGCCTCCAGCGGAGAAGGTGCCCGAGAGGAAGTGTGGGGAAATCAGGGAGCAGTACGGCATCCAGAGGGTGGAGGCTATGTTCCACACGTTGGATAAGATCAACGCGGACCCGGTGCTCCTGCCCAACATCACCCTGGGCAGTGAGATCCGGGACTCCTGCTGGCACTCATCCGTGGCTCTGGAGCAGAGCATTGAGTTCATCAGGGACTCTTTGATTTCCATTCGCGATGAGAAGGATGGACTCAACCGGTGCCTGCCTGACGGGCAGCCCCTCCCCCCAGGCAGGACTAAGAAGCCCATTGCCGGTGTGATCGGCCCGGGCTCCAGCTCCGTAGCCATTCAAGTGCAGAACCTGCTCCAGCTCTTTGACATCCCCCAGATTGCATATTCCGCCACAAGTATCGACCTGAGTGACAAAACTTTGTACAAATACTTCCTGAGGGTTGTCCCTTCTGACACTTTGCAGGCAAGGGCGATGCTTGATATAGTCAAGCGTTACAATTGGACCTATGTCTCTGCAGTCCACACGGAAGGTAGGCATCGCATTTGGGAAAGAAAGGTACCGAGAAAGTCAGGACATTGCATGATGTGTGCTTGGGATCATGGTATCTTCCCTGTTTATTTCGAGCTCTGTGGGGAACAGACTTTGCCCTTCTCAGCACATGTCCATCCAAGCATTGCCTTTTATCCCCATTCTGCTATAATTATAGTTTAGGAAAAATGTCCGATCGTGTTTCTGGGGACAGTAGGAGCCTAAAAGATGCCAAACCCTCCATGAACAGTGTCCAATGGCAGATTTTGGATTTACATGCCTGTTAGCCCTCATTTTCTGAGTCTGTGTTTGGGAGGCTTATTTACCTAAGGAGGCATCCCATTCTTAAATGATTGGCTCTAATTTTCTAAGCTTAACAGAATAATCCAATGTGAGCAATTAGACCAAAAAAAGAAACAAACAAAAAACTCTGCCCCCTAAATTGGGACTGAAAGCTTCATCTTGTCTTGAACACTGAAGCTGCTTCTTTGTCCTAATGTGTCCCTTTTTACACACACACTAACACTGGACTAATGCGGTCATCTCTCCCGGTATCAGATATGTGTATTTTAAATTTGGCGTGCCTTAGATACAAAGGAGAAGTAAATAATTTAAGTCATTTATTTTCTTCCTACTATATATGTTGAAATTGTCCATATGTCCTGAAACCCCTCCTTCTCTCCAAGAGTGATCTTGTTTTATGAGAAACAGCACTGATGACCTCTTGAACTTGAGTTTTGGTTTCTAGCCTTTTTCTCTTAACACAATGGCTTTGGTCATTAGAATTTAAAGTTAGACCAGTTATAAATTATGAATAAAAGGATATTAGATATCAAGTTTAAAATGGCTTGGATATTTAGAGTCTTACAGACATGAATTCTCAAAGAACTTCTTTATATATATATATATATATATATATATATATATATATATAAAGATTTTCTTTATTTTCTTCATCTTAGCCTATATAAATTCTTGGATAAAAGGAGATTTTTTAGTCATCTGCTCCTAACTCCCTTATTACATTTATGAAGAAAATGAGATCTTGGTTCTACATTAATGCCTAGGAAAATTCACATGTATATGCTTGCATATGAAGAGGATCTTCAAGGGATTGCTGCATTCATATTTATTAATATGAAATTATCAAAAGAAAGTCCATTGGCATGATTTTATATTATTTTAACAGTCACGTGGCATTCAGTTGTGAGTGTGAAGTCTGGGGAAAGACATTAATAAGCATCCCTACTGCTGTGGTTATATGGTTATTGTTAATAGAAGCTGATGTGTTATAAAAGGAGCAGAGTTTTCACAGAAAACATTCAAAAATAATGTAGAATTATACATTATAAATTCAGACTTTGCTTTTGGAAAAAAATTCTGCAGCAATATTGTGACTTTTAACAACTGACTCATGTTTCTGAATCTTGATTTTTTAATAGTGAACTGCATATCTCTTCATCAGCAAAAATCCATTACTTTTTTGAGAAGGCAAATTTAAGTTCATATGTTAATCCCTTACATTTTAATGTTTAATATAGTTTCCTCTAGTGCTTAGATGAAACATCTTAAAAGCACAAGTTAGACATTGTTAATTATCAGTATTAGAGTGATCGCTAAGGGAATGGGAAAATCTAGATTGAATATGGTTTAATTAAATATTTAATAATTCTCTCTTCATTGAACTAGGCAATTGATTATAGATCTTAGAAGTGTAAATTCCTCCTCCAAGAGGAAATAATACTTCCTCATTTTTATACAGTAGTTTCATTTTCCGTATTTTCTTATCATCCCACTTTTGGGGATGGAGAAGAGTTGAGAAAAGAGTCCCTTCCTTTCCTCAGTCTGTTTTCCAGTTGCATAATTTTGCTAAAAATAATTGCTAATAATGGGTTGCTTTCTGACAACTAGAATTATGTTTTTGAAAAATTAATTAGACTTGTGTTTGCCAATTCTGTTGAGGAAGGGCTCATGTTAAAATTTCACCTTTGCATTAGTTTGGACTTTGTTTACTTTCTGTCTTCTGACTGATTTTGTGTGGCAGAGATAATGTCTCTCTAATCAACTACTGCAATGTACTATTGCAGTAGTTGATTCCAGACTAGATTGTGTTCATAGATCATAGATCTCACTTTTGGTGACTGTTATATTGCCATGAGATTATGATATTTGCCTTGTCTTTTACATTTATATCTAATCTAATCTATATCTAATTTTTCTCAAAAAGAATTTGTTCCTTCTCTTATCAGACCTGATATCTGTGGAAACTAAATTGCTTTTATTTTTTCTATCTGCAAAGAAATGTCACGGCCTGCTTTGTGTCAGCTCCAAATGAAAATTTGTTTTTCCCGAGGCTCTGCCCTCTTGCTTCTCAGGGACCCATGGTATGCTGGCCTGCAGGCATTTTCTTGCATCATTTAGTAATTTTCCTGCTTTCAGGCTGATGGGGTCACCTACTGGTGACATTCCCTGTCAAGAAACAGGGAAGACCACATATCAGTGTTATCTCTGCCATCTGGGCACTACTCAGGAGGGAAGTCAGTTTGTCTGGATATTCGCCATTTGGATCTTAGAAATTCTGTAACCTCCAGTGACCTTCACCTCTCCTTTCCAAATTAGCCATTCTCTAGTCAATTTATCATCACAGTTTCTTTTATTAGAAGTTAGTTTAGAACAGCTAACATCAACATAATTAAGTATCTAGATGAGGGTACCTTATTTTTATAGTTACTTTTGATAGACCTTAAAGTCATACATGGAGTGCCCCTATCTCTCGAATGCCCCAAGTGTTTTTATATCCCTATATTATTTCATTGAATGTCAAAGTTGTGCTTGGAGGTATTTTCTGGTTTTGTTTTTTAACCTGTTAGAATCCAGTTGTTACATAGTTTTGGCACACTTTTAAATCATCTGTCATGCCATTTGTTCCACACTGTCCTCTTGGTCATGACAAATGTCAGCTTACCTGACAGAAAAGTTACCTGCAATAGGTTCTCTAGAAATGTTTTGGGACTGGTTCCTGAGGGGAATATTGAAATAGGATCTGCCAAAGGGTGGGGGCACTAAATCAACAGAGCTTTACCCCCAAATAAAAATTGAATGTGCTTTGGAGCAAGCTGCTCACCTGGAATGTGTATCTTTAAATATGCTAAGCACACAATACAAAAATTGCCTTCTGTGAAGAATATCTTAGCCAAGGACACTGTATTCCATCCTTCTGGTAAAATGCACATTCCCTATCAGACCTCAAATTTATCATTTTAAAGGACTATGAAATAGCGTACTTAAAATAATTCTAGTTGATTAAAATCAGAGCTTTGGACAAGTCCCATAAAAATATCTTTAGAATTAGTAGCTTCAAAAAGTTTTTTGGGGGATTGGATACATTTTCATTTGTTTTAAGGTTTTTCTCTCTTAATATTTTGTCCCATAGTGTCAGATGAATATTGATATGATAAGGGGTTTAGTGATGTTACTTCCATTTTGAAAATGTCCACTGTAAGGTGCCCTTTTATTTACAATTATGTTGCATTGTAGTGTACTTTTTTTTTTTTTACATTTGCTTACATTTTATACGAAATTGACTTTTTTTTGGCTTCTTTTCAAAATCCAATGATTTTCTTCTCAGAAGCTTTTTAAAAAAAACTATTTGACTAAAAACTTACTTAAAAAATATAATGGCATCAGAGGAAAATCCATCTAAGTCAAAAATACATTTGGGTAACTATGACTTTAGCTAGTGCAATTACAGATAAGAATTTTATTTTTAACAAATATTTTTCCTGTTTGTGCACTCGTAACTTTCTTGGCTTGGTTGAAATCTCTTTTACAGTGTGTTATCTTAATAAATTGTTGCATTTTATCACAAAATAAGGGATTAGAGTACCTTGAAAGGTTGTTTAGGCCAACCAGTTAAAGATACTTAACACACCATTATATCTTTGCCAAGAAGTAGTTCCCATTTGCTCTAAGTATCTAAATTGTGATTAGGGTTTCTAATGAGAAGGGAAGAATATAAGACTGAAATTCAGAGCAGATTTTCACCTTAACTATTAGTAAGTTTTGCTATATAATAACTAGCTCCCTGAAATTTCTTCATCAGCTACTGGGAGTCATTCCTCTTCCAGTGAATCTTCTGTCTTTCATGCCATACCTCACCAGTTCCCTCATCCCTATACTTCAGTTTTTGGTTTCTCCATCATCATAGATAACTCAAGTAGATCTTAAACCAATAATTATCCATAAGTTCTTTTTAAAATATGTGCTGCTACAAGGCCATATCTCCTTATTTTTATGCTTGAACAGTTATTATTATTATATCTAAGAGGAAGACTTTGTTTTTTATTTCCGTTTAAATGTAAAATTATTAGCTTTAAACTACTTTATCATTAAGTTCTGGGATTTGATTATTTAATTCATCTTAGCTTTCCAGCTTTGTGTTCTCAGGATTTAATTATATACATTAAAACATGAGTAAGAGAGGGTCAATTGTAAAGTTCCAGAGCCCATCACCAGCAGGTGACTCCCTAGCTAACTTTGATGGACACTCAACCTGCTGTGAATTCCCTCGACAGCCCAAATTTCTATCACTTTTTGTACCTCTCTAGAAAGAAAGAAAGAAAGAAAGAAAGAAAGAAAGAAAGAAAGAAAGAAAGGAGGAATGGAGGGAGGGAAGAAAGAAAGAAAGGAAGGAAGGAAGGAAGGAAGGAAGGAAGGAAGGAAGGGAGGGAGGGAGAAAGGAAGGAAGAAAGAAAGAAAGAAAATTTAAATTAAAAACCATCACAACAGATACCCGATTCTAATGGAACATTTACTATATCAAACATGGTATGTGAGGAATTTGAAAGCCTGTTCCTAGTTACTAAGTACTTTACACTCTAAAGGGAGCGTAGTTAATGGACACATGTAAAACAATTAAAAACAAGTAAAAATGAATTCTTGTAATATATACATTTAAAAATATGACCTTATATAATTCAGGGAACACTGAAAGAAATATTG